CAGTAGTAGTAGTAGTAGTAGTAGTAGTAGTAGCAGCAGTAGTAGTAGTAGTAATAGTAGTAGTAGTAGTGGTAGTAGTGGTAGTAGTGGTAGTAGTAGTAGTAGTAGTAGTAGTAGTTGTAGTAGTAGTAGTAGTAGTAGTAGCAGCAGTAGTAGTACTAGTGGTAGTAGCAGGAGTAGTAGTAGAAGTAGTAGTAGTAGTAGTAGTAGTAGCAGTACCAGCCGCAGCATTCGCGGTCGCATTCGTATTGTTGGCCTCACTACTGTGGTATTAAGTACTATGATCGTTGGTGCTGTTCGCAGCCGTATTAGATAAACTCGTATTCTCAGTGGTGGCATTAAACACGTTTGCACTGTGTTTTAGTCCCGTGTGCAGCAACAATAATTTTCGTGTCAGCATTAATGGTAATACCAAGATCAGCCAAAACCAGATCGTGTAAGTATTCTGAATAGTAGCCATACCAATATCAGTAATGGTCGTAGTACGACGCTGGTTAAAATTGGTTTTAAGTTGCAGCTTAATGTTCGCAATGTTATTAGTAGGAGCGCCATTCGATTTACCAGTAGCAGTAGCATTAGTATTTGTATTAGTGGTACCATTAGTATTAGTAACGTGCATAGGGCTACCGTTCTGGATCGCAGTAATACCTTAGTCGTCTGCTTAGTACCGTTCTTACTACCATCAGTATCGTTAGTCGCCCTTTTGTTGTCATTATTCCTAGTAGCATCAGTAATATAAGTCGTCCGATTATTCTTAGTCCTATCGTCATGGTTAGTATTATTTGTCGTCCTCATCACCGTCGCTCCTCCTCGCTCCTCTCCTTCGCTGTTCCTCAGCCTCGCTCCTGATCCTCATGGCTCCTCCCCCTCCTCCTCCTCCTCCTCCTCCTCCTCCTCCTCCTCCTCCTCATCATCATCATCATCATCATCATCATCATCATCACCGCTCAGTCTCATCCCCCCCTCCTCGTCCTCCTCCTCCTCCTCCTCCTCATACTCCTCCTCATCCGCCTCCTCCGCCTCCTCCTCCTCCTCCTCCTCCTCCTCCTCCTCCTCCTCCCCATCGCTACTCACCCACCTGGCGCATCATCCTCCTCGCTTCTCCTCGTTCCTCCTCCTCCTCCTCGCTCCTCCGCCTCCTCCTCCTCCTCTTTCTCCTCCTCCTCCGCCTCATCATCATGCCTCCTCATTCCTCCTCCTCATCATCATCCCCCTCCTCCCCCATCATCATCATCATCATCATTATCATCATCATCATCATCATCATCATCATCATCATCAGCATCAGCATCATCATCATCATCATCATCGTCATCATCATCATCATCATCATCATCATCATCATCATCATCATCATCATCATCATCTCATCATCATCATCAGCAGCAGCAGCAGTACCATCATCATCATCAGCATCATCATCAGCAGCAGCATCATCATCATCAGCATCAGCATCAGCATCAGCATCGTCATCAGCATCGGCATCACCACCACCATCATCATCATCAGCATCATCATCATCGTCGTCGTCATCAGCATCATCATCATCAGCATCATCATCGGCATCATCAGCATCATCAGCAACATCAGCATCAGCATCATCAACAGCATCATCAGCAGCATCATCAGCATCATCATCCCCAGCGCCTTCAGCAACATCGTCGTAATCATCAGCATCACCATCAGCAGCATCGTCGTCATCATCACCAGCATCACCATCATCATCAACATCATCAACATAAACATCATCATCATCAACAGCATCATCATCATAATCATCACCAACATCATCAGCATCATCGCCGTCATCACCATCAACATCATCATCATACATCACCATCGTCATCAGCAGCAGCAGTATCAGCATCAGCATCATCATCATCATCATCATCATCATCATCACCATCATCATCAGCACCATCATCACCAGCAGCATCATCAGCACCAGCATCAGCATCAGCATCAGCATCAGCATCATCAGCATCATCATCAGGGGAGCAAAGGACCCACCTTCCACGACCGCTTGCCGACCACAACCACTAGTCCTGCAAGCCGCTGTAGCGCGCGCGGACGCCAACCCCTTCTGCCTCCTCGAACACCGCCTCCCACTCCAACTCCCCCTCCTCACCCTCATCCTTATCATCAGCATCATCATCACCATCATCATCATCATCATCAGCAGCATCATCACCATCATCGTCCTCGTCATCATCATCAACATCATCATCAGCAGCAACATCAGCATCAGCATCATCATCAGCAGCATCAACATCATCACCATCATCAGCAGCATCATCAACATCAGCGTCAACAGAAACAGCATAATCATAATCGGCATCAGCATCAGCATCATCATCAGCTCCATCACCACCAGCACCATCACCATCACCATCACCATCACAATCAACAGCACCACCCTAACCATTTTACAGCCGATACTCAGCATTATCATCAGCAGCAACATCAGCAGCAGCAGCAGCATCAGGATCAGCATCACCATCAGCATCAGCATCAGCATCATCTACATCGTCATCGTCGCCGAAATCATCGTCATCATCATATAATCAGCATCATCATCACCACCGCCAGCATCAGCAGCATCAACATCAGCAGCAGAATCGTCGCCATCATCATCAGCATCAGCATCATCAGCATGATCAGCATAATCATCACCATCATCACCATCATCGGCAGCATCGGCACCATCATCATCAGTAACAGTATAATCACAATCATCATCGTCATCATCACTAGCATCAGCATCAGCATCATAATCAGCATCAGCATCACTACCATCACTAGCATCATCGACATCAAAACCATCATCATCAGCAACAGCAGCATCAGCCACATCATAATCAGTAACAGCAGCATCAGCATCAACATCATCATCATCACCATCATCAGCATAAGCATCATCATCATCATCATCATCATCATCATCATCATCATCATCATCATCATCATCATCGTCGTCGTCGTCGTCGTCTTCCGCCTCCTCCTCTTCCTCCTCCTCCGTCTTATCCTCCTCCTCCTCCACCTCCTATTCCTCCTCCACATCTTTCTCGCCCTCCTCCGCCTCATCATCCTCCTCCGCCTCATCCTCCTCCTCCTCCTCCTCCTCATCATCATCATCATCACCATCAGCATCAGCATCATCATCCTCATCCTCACCCTCCTCCTCCCCATCCTCCTCCTCTTCTTCCTCCTCCTCATCCTCCTCCTCCTTTCTCCTCCTCCTCCTCTTCTCCTCCTCTTCTTCCTCCTCCTCTCCTCGCTCCTCCTCCTCCTCCTCCTCCTCCCCCTCCTCTCCTCTCCTCTCCTCTTCCTCTTTTCCTTCCTCCTCCTCCTCCTCCTCCTCCTCCTCCTCCTGCTCCTGCTCCTGCTCCTCCTGCTGCTCCTCCTCCTCCTCCTCCTCCTCCTCCTCGTCCTCCTCCTCTTCGTCCTCGTCACTCCTCCTCCTCCTCCTCCTCCTCCTCCTCAGCAGCAGCAGCAGCAGCAGCAGCACCAGCAGCAGCAGCAGCATCATCATCATCAGCATCATCATCATCATCATCATCATCAGCAGCAGCATCATCATCATCAGCAGCAGCAGCATCATCATCATCATCAGCATCATCATCATCATCATCAGCATCATCATCATCATCACCACCATCATCATCATCATCATCATCATCATCACCATCATCACCATCATCACCATCATCATCATCATGAACAAGAACATCCACAATTACACTATATGAATACTACTCTCCTCTCTCCTCTGCTGACGTCCAGAAGATATCTGGCCCCCCTCCGCGTATTGCGTTTACACGCAGGATTCCCGGAAACTTGGTTTCGCTTGGGTGTTTCTAAAATGTGTTGCTCCCGCTGAAGCGCTGGCCTCGTTTTCGAGCTTCCGCTCGCTCCGAATCCTGCTCCCGCTGCAGCGCTGGACTCATTTCCGCGCTTCCGCTCGTTCCGTATCGTGCTCCCGCTGCGCTAGCGTCATTATTTCCAGTACCATGTTACGGCATGGTTTCGGTCCTTCCAAATAGGCCTCAAAATCTAAAAAATGCCCCCCCCGAAAAAAACATCGGAAGTGATTACACATTCGCTCTCGATTCGCTGATTTTGGGGGCCGCAGAAGCCCCCCCACTCTGGGGCGTCGCCACGCCATGCTATGTCATGCTACGCGTTGACATTCAACGCCATGCTATGCCATGTAATGCTAAGCCATGCTACGACTGCGCAAATTGAGAGGAAATCTACGCCATGGCAAGGGATGGGAGGGAGGGGTAGGACATCAGATATGACGCGAGCGCACCTAGCCATCCTCCTCCCCCCTCCCCATCCGCCTCTTCCTCCTCCTTCTCCCCCTCCTCCTCCTCCTCCTCCTCCTCCTCCTCCTCCTCCTCCTCATCATCATCATCATCATCATCATCATCATCATCATCATCATCATCAGCAGCATTATAATCACCAGCATCATCAGCATCATCATCATCATCATCATCATCAGCATCATCATCGTCATCATCATCAGCATCCTCATCGTCATCATCATCAGTATCATCATCATCATCATCATCATCATCATCATCATCATCATCATCATCATCATCGTCATCATCATCGTCATCATCGTCACCATCATCATCAGCAGCAGCATCATCATCATACTCACCATCAACATCATCATCATAATCATCATAATCATCATCATCGTCATCCTCATCACCATCACCATCATCATCACCACCACCATCATCATCATGATCATCACCATCATCATCATCAGCAGCATCATCATCATCACCATCATCATCATCATCATCATCATCATCATCATCATCATCATCAGCATCAGCATCAGCATCAGCATCAGCATCAGCATCATCATCATCATCATCATCATCCTCCACCTCCTCTTCCTCCTCCTCCTTGATCCTCCTTCTCCTCCTCGCTCCTCGCTCCTCGCTCCTCGCGTCCGCGCGCCGCTTGCGCGCGCGGGCCTCTGGAGCGGCGCGTCGCGCCCGTGGCGGGAGCGCCGGAGCGACCGCTCCTCGGCGCGGCGCGGGAGGGAGGAGGGAAGAGGGTGGAGGGAGGAGGGAGGAGGAAGGAGGGAGGAGGGAGGAGGGAGGGGGGAGGAGGGAGGGAGGAGGGAGGAGGGAGGAGGGAGAATGGGGAGAGGAGGAAAGAGGGAAGGGAAAAGGGAGGAGGAGGTGGAGGAAGGGCAGGCGGGGAGGAGGAGGAGGAGGAGGAGAAGGAGGAGGAGGCGGAGGAGGAGACCAGCGTATGATCATGGAGGAAGAGGAGGAGGAGGAGGGGGAGGAAGAGGACGATGATGAGGATGAGGAGGAGGAGGAGGAGGAGGAGGAAGAGGAGGAGGCGGAGGAGAACGAGGCTGGACCCTGCCACAGGGGCGCCATGCCGATTGAATTCCAGGGCGGGCTCAATGGCCCCTGCTCTCGCCGAGCTCCACCCGCCCGCCGCGCCGCTGCGCCCGCCGCACCGTCCCCAGGGACGCGCAGGCCGCGGCAGCATCCGCCCCAGGATCGCCCGCCGCGGCCTCCTCGCAGAAGGCGCGGGCGCGGGCTGCCAGGGCTCGCAGCGCGCCGCCCGAGCCCCCTCGCAGAGGTCGCGGGCGCCGGCGAGCCGCCGTGGGCACTCCGCCGCCGCGGCTCCAGCCTCAACGGCGAAGGCGGCGGCGGAGGCGGCCAGCTCCGCGACGAGCCGCTCCGCCCCGCGGCGCGGCGCCCTCGGCCTCCTCTGGGCTGCACGAGCACGCCCCGCGCAGGGCGCGGGCCATTGGGGGCCGCCGCGCGGAGGTCGGCGATGGTCGGCGGGGAGTAGGAGGAGGAGGAGGAGGACGACGAGGAGGAGGACGAGGAGGAGGAGGAGGACGATGAGGAGGAGGAGGAGGAGGAGGAGGAGGAGGAGGAGGAAGAGGAGGAGGCGGAGGAGAACGAGGCTGGACCCTCGCGAGGGGCCTGGGGAGCTGCTGCCAGCCGCCCCGCGCCTCGGCCCCCTCCACGGCACGGCCCAGCAGCGCGCGGGAGCGCTCGCCGTCCCGCGGGCGCGCACGGCGCAGCTGCTCGCCGTCCTGCACGGGCGTGCGCATGCGTGCTCGGAGTCCTGAGCTTCGAGGGCGCGCAGGCACGGATTGGCGATCCGCGGATGTGGCGCGCGTGTCGCCAAATCCACGGACCGGGGGAGGGGCCCTCCCCCAAGATGCGGCCCGTGCCGGCCTCGCCCGGCGGCGGAAAGCCGCGATTTCCCCATGGAAACGGGACCCGTCGCTAATCCACGCCCCCATTGATCCGTGTCTGCGATCGCCTGAGAGCTGGTGGTCGACGCAGGCGTCGGGGTCGGAGTCGGAGTCCCCCGCCTGCTGCAGTCGCTGCTCGGAGAAGCCGCCCGTGAGGCAGGCGACTCCCTTCGCGGCAGTCTTCGCGAGCACCGCAAAAGGAGGAAGAACAAGAAGCAGGAAAAGCTGCGGACGGCTAGCAGAAGGCAGCGGAGAAGCGCGAGAAGCAAGAGCAGGGAAACGAAGAAACCGAGAAAGAGGAAGCAAAAACGAGCAGAGCAGAACGAGCAGAGCAGCAGCTGTGACGACATAAAACGAGCAGAGCAGAACGAGCAGAGCAGCAGCTGCGACGACATGGACGACGAGGACGAGGACGAGGACGAGGAGGGTCACGAGGAGAAGGAGGAAGGAGGAAGAGGAGCAGGAGGAGGAGGAGCAGGAGGAGGGAGGAGGAGGAGGAGGAAGAGGGAGGAGGGAGGGAGGAGGAGGAGGAGGAGGAGAGAGAGGAGGAGGAGGAATGAGGAGGAGGAGGAGGAGGAGGAGGAGGAAGAGGGAGGAGGAGGAGGGAGGAGGAGGAGGACGAGGAGAGCGAGGAGGAGGTGGCGGACTGGGCAAGCCCCGCCGAGGCCGCTTCCCCTCGCCGTCTGGCTCCCACCGCGCTCGCGCGCGCGCGGGCTCCCGCTGCTCTGCCCAGCGGCTCTCGCCCGCGCTGGCCGCGAGGACGCCTCGCCACGCGCCCTGCCCCCGCCCCGCCCTCGCGGGGGGCGGGGAGGGCGCAGCGAGCCCCGGGGGTCTGCAGGCCTCGACCCGCGAGCCTCGAGCCCCGATCCTGCAGCCTCGAGCCTCGAGCCTCGAGCCTCGAGCCTCGAGCCTCGAGCCTCGAGCCTCGCGCACTGATCCTCGATCCTTGAGCCTCCGCCCTCGATCATGCAGCCTCGAGCCCCGGGCCTCGATCCTCGATCCTCGAACCTCGAACACCGACCCTCGAGCCTTGATCCTCGAGCCTCGATCCTGGATCGCCCCCATCCCCTTGAAGGAAGGCCGATGGCAGCACGACGGAGCAGCGCCCGACCCCCCCCTTGGAGGCCGAAGGAGGCCGCGGGAGGCCGAGGGAGGCCGATGGCAGCACGACGGAACAGCGCCCGCTCCTCGGCGCGCAGCCGGTCCGCCTCGAGGCGGGCGGCGGCTGCGGCCTGGCGGGCCGC